CATCACACCACGTCTCACACCACAGCCACTCCTGAGGGAGGGATCTGATGGGAACTTGATGGATCATGTTATTAGGTAAGTCCTGTAGAGATTAAGAATTAGAAATGCTAGGAGGTAAAGTTTGACTGAAGCAATGTGGAGTCAGTCGCTCCATCCGTGAGAAGGTCTGTTCGTCCGTTCGTATTTTCGTCTGTACGATCGTCAGAGTCTTACTCTGTGACTAAAAAAAATTAGCAAAGCCATCTTTAATTGAAGGTATACTTATACTCTCTATTCCTGATTCCCAAAATAAATAAAATTACCAATGTTTTTAAAATAAAAATTTTTGCCACTTCGACAATCGCGAAGGAGAATCAACACCGAATCGCAATTTCCTCCGAAATGACGCCCGCGTCCACTGTTCTTTGCACTGTTGGAAAATTATATTCCTGTTCACCGCAGTTCTTAGGATGTCTTAATTTTAGTGTCCATCTTTAAAATTGTTATGCGTATGCATGACTTAGTCCAGCTCATAGGATGATGATTTCAATTAGATCCTTGTTCTACAAAAATTTAATTCCTAATGGCGTTTGCTCTACAGCAACAGCATCGAAGTTTACATTTGTCAAGTCAAATATAACTGGATAATCTATCTCTCACCTGATCGAGGTTGGAAAGACTGTTGGGATCTTGACTCAAGCCCTGATTAACAAATAACAAACAAATTAACTGGATTTCGTCTTCGAACGTCGAATAAAGAAGGAAATAAAAATAAACACAAACTAAGGACAAAGTAAAAAAACCCAGGCTGATATGAAGCCTCGCAACTTCCTTTCGCGGATAAAATTATTGCTTCGCCAACTGAGCTGCCGAGAGGCTCGGAGTTCAAACTACCTCGAAACCTTGATTTTTTCATTTTGGTTTTTTTCTGCAGAGACGTTATTTGCATTTAACCTGTTATAATCAATTCTTCACTTGTCATTGGGTACATTTTTTGTCTAGGGGTAGTATCAACTCGCCTGATACTGTCCTCTTAGCCTGTCACCGGCGGCCAGTCGCCTGAATCGATCCAAGTCTACGACGTACAACGCACTGCAATAGACAAAGAATAAAAGTAAAAGGTTGGAATAACATCGGCAATTAAAACTCTAACTGAACTGCAGTCACTTATAAGGCTGTTCCTCACCTAATGTGATACGGCTTTCCACCCAAGTGACTTCTCCAGTAACCAACATTCCAAAACCTGCAGAAGCACAAATGTATTATGGCATCAGCTGCGATAAATGTAATTCAATAAAAATTTGGAAGTGTTTTTTTTTTTTTGTCACTGCGGCTTCACCTCTGGTAGAACCTGCAATGGCATCGTAAACAGAGCTGTTCGAAAATAATGTTTAGATCGAGAAATTTTAGAACACCGGGTATGAAGTGTAATGTTGAGTGGTAAGTAGTGAAGGGAGAGGCTTTGACCCTTTACGCCCTATCATCAGTATGCATATTCTCCACACTGTTCTCTGTACATTTCCCAAGGAGCTGAAAAGGAGAATTTGTTTAACAATCAAGAGCTTCTGTAGTTGGTGATCATGTCCTTTATTCTCATGACCCTAATGCGTGATTCAAGGATGATATTGTAAGGAGAAATTAGATGTTAGTCAAAGAGGTCAAATGGTTAAGAGAACGCAGGCGTCAAATGATCACAACTTCTCTGTCACAAATCCCTTCCGATCGACGTTAATGCACGTTTCGTCTTTAAAGTAGGGCTGAGGAAAGGTTTCATTTCCAAGCTCGCTCACTTAAGCGTTTGTTTAACAAACCAAAACGTTAGTGGGATGGGAATCTGGGAAAAAACCGCGAAACCACTTTCCTTGTATTATTAATGACGTTACGGTTATAGAAATGAACGCTCATTTGAGCTCTGTTTTATGCCTAAATACTTTCCGGGAAAATGATTCTAATATCACGAAATTTATTGCAATAGCAATTAATAAGAGCAGGGGCAAACATACGAGAAAACAAGATATAATAAATTGTAATTTACCTAAAGCCATCCATCTCTTTGCGGCTGCTACAGAAAGGCGTGTATGCATAGGGTGCTCCATGTAAGTTCATTTCATTCAGCTCTTTTAAGTCAGCTCTTACTATCTGAAAACGTTAAACAATCACAAATATAGCGAGTAAATCATCACTTATAAATTAACAAATCACTAAGCCTTCATAAAAAGAGGAAATGATGGCACCGCCAATTGAAATAAAAGGAAAAAAAGAAGAGTAATTGTATACAGCGTCCCCACGAATCAAACAAACCATAGCAAAAATGGAACTGAAGAGTGAGGAGTTGTCAGGACTGAACGAGATAACACACCTAATGCACCATTTAAAGGTTGAAAAATACTTACTAAATCTGCATCTACGAAGATAATTTTCTTCACGTGGAGCGGAAATAGTACATCCAGAAATAGGATTTTGTATCTAAAAGTCACGAAATAGGAAATTTAAAAAGTATGATTAATTCGGAAGCGATGAAATGTCCCAAACACTGGAAGATCATGGCAAATGCAAAGGTTCTGAGCTTATCTTAAAAGAATTTGAAAAAGTAATTGAGCCAGCTTGTAACTAAGAAAATGCACAATATGTTTTGATAAGAATAAAAAGGACAAGGAGAGGATTTTTCCAGGATGGAAAAGAGAGTTGTACTCACCCCCAGATGACCCTCTGCTTCTCCGTTTGTGCGTGAAGCCAGTGAGGCCAGTGATATTGAACAAGTTCATACTCAAAGCCATATTCTTCGGCCATGTGAGGTAGAAACGCCTAGAAAGTAAGTACAACAAAGGTGACTGCCAGTTTTAAGGCTAAAGTTTGGACGAAGGCTAAACGCACAAGACAATATACTTTTATCAACGTACATGTACAAAACCTTAAGCACTGCTCTAGTGGTACGCTTTCTCTAGTCAAGAAAAACAAATGAACTCCAAAGACATCACTTTTTTAACTCTTCACTAATAATCAAGTTTCAAACTGTTATAGACTATGCTATATTCACTGGATCGGAAGTAAAATCATTAATCATTACCGTCATAGTTGGGGACAGGAAGTTCTTCAAGAACCAAAACTTCACCGGATTTTTGGTATTCTTCATAACAGTCAACATCATGATTCTGGAAGAAAGAAATTAACAATAATCATGATCACGCTAACGATCGCGCTCACCATCATGATTACACCCGCGCTCGCATTCACGATCACGCTTACGCATAGGTCACGACCACGTTCACGTTTACTTGTGAAAAAGAGTTTGGTCATACGATCAAATGTTCGGCCTGAGATAGGTCGGGCCGTTCACGAGGATTCCGTCCGCCTCTCCCTTTCACATAATTATGACATAATGTATAAAGCAGACAGAAGAAAACAAGTAAAAATATCAATAGAGCTTCCTTTTGTTTACCTCAGAAAACGTTCGTAGAGATGACCGGACGCCACGGAGAAAACGTTGATGGTTTCATCTTTGGGGACGTCTCCTTTAGTTTCACTGCCAACCATGCTATTTAAAAAGGAAAATACAGCTCTGTTTCTGGTTATTAACATAAATGCCGCTAACGACCGAAGGAAACAAAAATCGACATTTTTTATGGAATCTAGTTATTAAGCCTGAATATCACGACACTTTGTTGAATAAAGAGGGAAGAAAACGTTTTTGCAGGTCATACTTTTACATCGCAAGCAAGCAAGTAAGCATTACTCCAAGTGTACTATTAGGATCACGAGGCTTGCATAACTAGCCATAAAGGAGTCGATTTAAGGACGGTTAATGATTCAAACGAATATGACACTCTTATATAGCTGCTCAAGTCGCATTCTTAAACCAGACAACTATCTTTCTATGCAATTGGATTAATGCGTTACCTTGCTCGCTTTCAAAAATCTCACAAAGGGAACAGGCGATATAAGGCAAAATAGATTACCTTGATAAAGAGTCCCAGATACCACCCGACGACGCGCTGTCAGAATCACTGAGCAGATCTTTCCCTTCCATGCCTGGTTTTCTCTTGACCTGAACATATGATTAACAGTAAACAACCAGAGTCAATTACCCACAACTAGCGCAGTTTATCCCGGTTTCCAAAGAATAGAGCGACTTAAATTACTCTGACTACTCCTCTTGAGGCGATAATGCTCCAGAACAGCCCCCCCCCCCCCTCAGCATTTTGTCAACTTTCCCTGACACTTCGCTCATATTCCTTTTTGGATTAAATCTACTGGCGTTCTATATGCTACTCCGGCGCTATCTAATTCGTGAAGACAGTAAGTAAAGTGAAAGGTCTAATAATGTGCACTTGTAAACAGAAGAAAAACAGGAGCTTATCTTGCTTTTAAGCTTTGAATGTCAGGCGGATTTACACCAATTTAAAAGATGAGATAATTCTCTCCCGATTCCTAGGGGTCATAGTTGATTCGGACTTCGCCCTCATCATCTACCACGCGACAGAAATCTTATTGTTACATATGCCTGGTTGGATAGACGCAGGATATAAACTAAACTTGTAATTACACTGAGGGATAAACACGTAGGACATTTGACTAGAGGGAACCCTCCTATGATATTTACGGAATACACTTTTCCAAACGAGAATTTTTCCATGAAGTCAATCTTACCTTTACTTTGAGCAGTTTTCCAATAAAGCTGTCAATGACGACAGTAAAATGGCCGTCGTCTTCCTTTGTGCTTCCAGAAACACTTCAAGTATGAAAATTAACAGTTGACTTCAGTAAAAAGCTACCCAACCGACGTTTAGCGATTGAACAGAATAGAGATTGAAGGATATTACATTGGGTTTCATTTATTTCCCAGGCTTAAGAAGCTTAAGAGGCCAATCAAAGCATATCTGAATTAAGTGTAATTACTCCGTTGATTGCAGAGATGCGCTTTAATTGGTCGAGGATTACGTCATACCTCGCTTTAATCACTTCGCGCGAGTTGATTATAGCAGGAGCGCTAAATTTCAAAATGGCTGCCTCGCGTTTTGTCAATCAATGCAAAGAGCACAGTAGATGCTACTGAGTTTGGCGGAACACTTTTCAAAAGAAAAGTCTTAAGGTTTCTCTGAATTAATTATTTAAACGTATTTAAGTCCAGTGGAATTTGGCTGCTTATCTCGATACAAGTAATCGAAACAATTGTAACAGAACGATTTCCATATCATAAAGAATTTACAACAGAATTTGAAGACATCTGAGCAACTATACTAATTAACAACTTTCGCCGAAGGCGAAGTGAATATTGTTGAATAATTCCCTCGACGATATTCACTTTGCCACACAAAAACGTGGAAATCAACAGAGACGAATCCGATGGCTAGGTCACGTTCTGAGGATGGATGAGGCTCGTATCTTTGAGGTTGCCCTTCGCTGAATATCACCTGGTTAAATAAAACCTAGTCTACAGAACGGGATGGTTTAGTTGGTTGAAGTAAACTCACATAAAGTGAAGCACAACGAGCTGCGCAAAACGGGGCTAAATTAGAAGAAATTGTTACTGCTTTGTTTCCCGCAGGGAACAGAGAGGATAACGTAAGTACATAACATCGCGAGAGAACAAGGTTTGGTAAGCGCATACAGCGCTGCAGCAATGCTTCTCAAACACCTTGAACAAACTTGATAAGATCTACGTGGTTTCACAGTTGAAAAAAAAATGACGTACACGTTTCTTTACAGCCTATTACCTTTCTATCTCGTAAATTTCAGCTGATCTTCCCTCTCGAACCCGTAGAGACCAGGCGCCAGGATAAGCCTTGAGCTGAAAGTAACCCTGTTAAATGTACAAATATATGGTACAACAATAAATTAACTTAGTAAGCTAACGATTCGTTTTCCAGCAAATAAAGGCGAAAAGCCGAGTTTTAGCCAACACAGTTCTGTAGGTCTTACCAAATTTGCCATGACAATCGTGTCAAACATAGCAGGGTCTCTCGGAGTACCGAGGGTAAATTGCAGTCCTCTGGGGGGCTGTCTAGTGTGAAAGTCGGAGCAGTGTCCTATCGACGAAAAAGGAAATATAAACAAAGGAGAAAGCAGAAAAAAGGCCAAGGTTCCTAGGTTTATTTTTGACGAAAATTCTTACTTTGGGTAAAGGAATAAACAGGCTCTAAGAGTGGTATATGAACTGATTCTCGACAAGTAGTGGTAGCCATAAAATTGCCATTGCAATTTGAAGGAAATTTAAACAATCACAAATGGCCTGAATCTTTAATCATCAGTGTCTTTCAAGAGTGCAACTTCATCCTCTAGTCTTCAAGCTTATTCAACTGTTTCTCTAATTCTACTGTACAAGAGCAAGTGATAGGAATGTCACTGACTTCAAACGCGAAGCTTAGCCAGTATTTCATTAACAAGTTAACCTTTTTACCTTCAATAAAGATATATTCCAAGTCAAACTTTGCTTGTACTTGGTTCTCTACCTGAATACACAGAAACAACACATGTGTCAGTTTAAGGATTAGATCAGAAAAGACAAAACAATCAACACACTCTACCAGTATGTGCCAACTAGTTAAGCTAAGACAGGAATCATCAGTTTTTGTAGGATCATCAGACGATTTTCTTTTTACCAAATTACTAATGTTACCCTTATCTTGATTTGTTATCATTTTTTTCCTTGAAACTTTTTATATTAAGCGAAATAGTAAGGTAAGATTGGGTAGTTATGCGTTCGTAGATTTTAGATGCTAAAAGAAGCGTAGGTCGGATATAGAGATTAACGTGCGGAACTGATATAAGCGTTTCTTTTGCCCTTGTAATATGAATCCTTCCCTTGCCACCTTTCGGCCTTTTGTCAATTTTACCCAACAGTTGCTGGGGCTCAATGCTGCTCTCATACGTTATCCTGAAATTGAGGTGTGGCGCCGTAAGAGACGGTAAATACATCCAGCTATTCGCGAAATTCTAACTAAAATCAATTGAAAAATTCACTTGTTAATTGACGTCTTCTTCGGCGTTTCCGTTCTGACTGCTAAAGGTCCCTACAGTGAGAGTAAGCTAACCAGTATCTCCCAAACAATTCTTACGTACAAATTTAACTTAAAAGGTAAATCCTCACCTCCTGTAATTTTATGTTGTCCAAATCGTAAGGAGAGTACACTGCCTCTACCATCCACCCCAGAGGTGTATCCATATTCATGGTAAGAAGAACTGACTGTGGCATATCAGAGAACACCGCCGCTGGCCCCTCTGTGATGGTGCCGTCCTCATTAAATGTGACTTCGGGCTCTAATACATATCGGTAGAAACGATTAAGAGGCAACTCGGAGAGCTTCTCACGAGAGTTCATGGCAAGCTTGATGTTAACGTTTGTAGCATTTTGAAGGACCTGAAGGAAAGAACAACATGAAAGAAAATTTGCTAACACTGTCCAAGATATTTATTTGCTTACCAAACACTTTCAAAAATATTTTTCTCTAAATTCCTCCGAGCGAGGCCTTATCCCAAAAAAATCAAAACCCTGAAGTCGAACGAAAAGTTCTAGGATTTCCGTGACCGTCCCCAAAGGCTGTTTAACAGGATTATCCCATAATATTAGCGCAATTATAGCGATTGCCATGCCAAGCTAACTAATACAAACTTCAATCCTTCGGTTACCACAAGTGTGAGCATCCTTCCAATGCAAAGGCGGTGAGTTGGTTTTTGCGCGCTCTGAAGATGGCCGGGCAGAGGGTAAAAAAATTGTTCCAAACCACCTTAAATAACCCAGTTTTAACTACTTATTAAAATAAATAATTGGCCTGAATTGGTCGGTTGATTTGTTGATACTCAGCTGTTCGCGCTTTAGTTCCTCAATAATTTCATCCATTAGTGAAAGTGAAAGAAAAAAGAAAGCTCAAACTTACCATCAGTATCGGTGCAATTTTCTGAGCAGCTGTAAAGAAAAGAGAAATAGGAAATAAATCAACCGATATCGATGAGAAATGCAAGAGGACAAAAACCGATCATGCGAACAGTTTTAGTAGCAAATTCCACACAATGATTTTTAATGATAGTTACTCCGTCCACTAAAATAATTTCTACAGCCTTTCTTACTCCGTTTCTGTATCACTTATTTAAGTGTAAATTTTGGAAAAGTATTTTGTGCAAGTGGGCTTTGTAACTGGGTGGAGTTGGAACCGTAACGATAATTTTCAAAAACAAAGTAACGAAACCAACAGTACCTTGAGACAGAGGATCCAAAACTACCACCACATCAAAACTGGCTCCGTCTTGCTTCGGCTCAATTTTCATGACACTAAAAAAGGAGACACACTTCACTGTTTGGTAGGCCGTTTGGAGCGGGACTGGTGCATTGAAGCAGCGCACGCAATCACGTTTTGTAAACATTTTCAATTAGATTAAATTTTTTACTTTAATGTGGTCGTACACGTTGGATTAAAAAAAAAACATGTTGCAATTCTTTTGCGTTGAGCAAAGCTTCATTATTTTTAATGAAACTTGTAAAAAATGATAGTTCGGTGGGATAAAAAGCAGAAGACAAAACTCAAAAACAAGCGACAAAGCGCCACAATCGTGCCACAACTTAGCACCAACTTCTTCTTAAGACAAAGCAGAAGAAACGAAGGACTGAGGTTCGATTCCTCATGGGGACTGAGAATTTTTTCTTTATCTCACGCACGTGACAAGAGCTCTTTACCAAGCTCAAAACCTGCCAACTTTCTTATTCTATTTACAAAGCAGAAACAATTCTAATAACATTTCCGTTTCAAGGTAACGCCTCTTTTCACTTCCCTACCTGTGTTCACTGGCTTTTATAGTAATTTGCTGACGAGATCTCTTATCTCGACAGATCAGCGCAGAGGATACCTTCATGATGATGTCACTTCTAAATTCACTGAAAACGAGACAAAAACACATTGAGAACGCTACTCTGAACTGGATAACTGTCATGCATTGTATAATTCCAGAATTCTAGCTGTGTGCTGCTATAAACTGGGTTATCAAGCCTCATATTGGGAGCGGAGCAAGCTCTAAAAGGTTCATCGACCCTGTCAACAAAATTAAATACTACATTTTTGACGTCTAAACCCTAGCTCGCAAACATTTCAGGAAAAAATGCAAATTACCTTGTATCATCATCCGCAGACAAACCATCAAATGTCATTTCATCAATCTGTTGATAAACAGATCCGCAAACTTAAAGTCTGACTCTGCCAAACGGCTACGCAATTATTTTTCAAATGTGGCTTTCGCGTGTAGTTAGTTGGTTTACACACCAAATTATCTTAAAGCGTTTTAAAGGATCGTACCTGGTCTCTAACTTTGCGAGCATACAAATCCATGTCAAAGTTCTCAAGAAGTTTAAAGTCATCCTCTGTGAACAACGTGTTTCCAGCAAGTGGACCAAGAACCTGTTGAAACAACATTTCAGCTGAAGGAAACTGTGCAGACTAGGGCAAGAACAGGCAAAGAACTTCACCGCTTCACACTTACTCTTCCGTTGGTTATAACAGCAGGTTGACCGGGAAGTAGGTTAACAACACCTGTGCAGAAATGCTGGTGTGAGAACAGCTTGCCTTTGAAGGTTCCCCCGTCTGATAACTTTGCTTGTATAGCTTCTAATTTCAAACCCTGATGATAGAGGCAAATGTATATAATCAACTAATTTACATCAAAACAACTTCTCTGACAAAAAGGACAAAATGTGTCGCACATCGTAACAAACTGTGTTTTATAGGCTACAGGATATAAAACAATCAGCTCGGCACAAAATAATGTATGATACCTCCACTCTTTAACTTCCTCTTCAAAGAAGAGTAATACTTTCTCTCAATTCTAATTTGCTTCGATTCATCACTCCGTCAATGTTAAAAACACACAAAAGCTCGTCCAACCTCTTCAAACCAATTTAAACAGGATCGATTCCTCTTTCAGGCTTTAGCTGCAAATTTCGTCATGTGATTCAAATCTGGCATCAACCCATTGTTCTTCAAACATATCCTTTTTTGACTGGCTCCTTTACCTTCCTATCCATTTTGTTAAAACTGTGCTACTTCGTGCATCGCAAAAAAATGATTTGCAAGCCTCGTGAATCCTCTGCCTCGCTCATTCTGGTTTAATATTTTAACCCTTTAAATCCCATGAATGATCGAGACAAAATTTCTCCCTACATCATAAATAAAATATTAAGCAGACAGGTGATGAGAATAACAAAAAATATCAATCAAGGGATTGTTAGCTGATCCAATACCAAATTCTCCAAACTAACAACATGAGAACTGTATTGCAGACAGTAAGGAGAATTGTTAATGAGATCTTGGGAGTAAAAGAGTTAATTTGTCTGCTTTTCTATCTCATTAGTTTAAAATTCTGTGGTTCCTCGTTGATTGAAGGCAATTTTCCATGTGGCGACTCGAACTACTCAAACAAAATTCATGCTGCCAATCACACATACCGGTGTTTTCGCCAAAAGGTCTGCCATTGCTTTGGCGTCTGAAGACAGTTTATCAAAGTCGTTGCTCTCATCCAGCAAATTCTCCATGAATTTTAACATTGCTGGCGTAACGTGACTCTTTGAAGACAATACAGCCTCCACTGTTCTGGCGATCTGAAGTGATTCTGGGCGATCATCCGTATGTTTTATAGCTGGATTGTGAATGAGCCCCACCCTTGCACTTGAAGATGATTTCTGAAAAGGAAACAATTCTTCAGAACTGAAAAAGGCGAGTTTTCCATAAATTTCAAAGTAAGTTTTATTTTCCGCGGAGTACAAGTAGTTCTTTGAGAAAATAAAGCAAGTTTTGCTCGAAACCTCAGGCGTAAAATAATCAATCAATTCAACGTCGTTCTTATTATACAGAAAGCTTGGTACTTTCTAATGACGCAATGGGGTATGTTCTTTGCATAAACCTAAGCTACATTATGTTTTAGTTTGGTTGAGCTCTTCCTGGACAAAGTCACGGTTTAGTTAAGATGATGGTCTAAGATTTTCTTATTTCAAATAAAATCTTTTTTGAAAGGCCGACTGTGAATCATTATCGCGCAGTCTTCAGAGCTCCATCATATTAACAAGAGTTACATGGCTAGAAACTAGATCACTCCGATCCTTCTTTGAGAGATTACGGTGATAACAATCACTGAAGTAGTGACCTACCACTTGTTGGAGGGCTGCTCTGACCAACACTCTTCCTTCTTTGCTGGCCAAGTCAGCAATAACCCAGTTAGTCACAGGTTTTAAACTTAGCTCTTCTACGAAAGAAAACAAAACAGCAACTAAACAGTGTCAGCCTAACTACCTGGTAACTTAGGCTTCGTGTCAAAGTGGAGGTCACTACAAAATAAGTACATTTACTTGAACCAACTTAGAATTCATAGTTAGCTAATCTCTTACAACTCACGACCTTTTCTAATTTCGAGATGCAAACAATCATCAGTGTAAAAAAAAAAAAACCTTATGTCCCAAAAAAATAAAAGAACGCTTGAATGTAATGTAAGGTCTTAGTGGTATCAATCTCCACAGCTTTTCCTCTCACCACAGTTAGTTAGTTTCCTTGCAACAAATGATTATCAATGTCATCATGGCAACTTCAGCCCCACCCTTTTCCCCCATAGTTATCTCCATGATCGTCAGCCTATCGTCATTTTATTCTCCACCCTTAACCTAGTCTCCAGTTCACTCTCATCCATCCCCATCACGTTCCCTCCTCAGTCCACCTCTTCAACCCTCGTCCGTATCCTTCTTCCATCCATTTCTTCATTGCTATGGCCTCCTATCTTCTTCCGTCGAATAGAATCTCACTTTGATCGTCACCCTTCTCCATTCTCCTCATCTTGCCCATTTCCATTCTTACCTTCGCCCTCACCTTCTGTTTTTATCCTAGTCCCGTTCTCCAACCTTAACTTCATCATAATCACTATCACCACTGACTTCCCCTTGTTCCAGATTCTCATTCTCTTAAACATAGTTACCATCAAATACAATATTACCTCCTTGTTTGGTGAAGTACTTCAATTCCTTGGCAACAACGGAAGCCATCTGCGAACTATCAAGCTTAGCAAACGCTTCAGGATTATTAATATCCTCATCTGTAAAACAGAAAACAAGCAGGTCTTATAATAAAATAATTAACATTTACATTTTTCCTAACGATTCATAAATTTCTGTTCAGTAAAGAGAACTGCGGAGATGTTAAAAAACACATGGGGGGGGGGGGGGGAATTTTGCAAACAGGCCTGTTTAACCGGGGGTTTAATTTTAAAAGAGGCTAATGATAAGCCTTCCTTCTTACTTTTCTCTTTTCAGTCTCAGACGCATATGAGGCTCGGGGTGGATGATATGACTTTTGAGACAGCGCAAGTCAAACACCGACACAGATCATGTTTCTTTTGGGTTTATTTTTTGAGAACTCTGTAGTCACTCCGTTTTTCCGTTTTTGTTGTTGTATTATTGTTGTTGCTGTTGTTGTTGTTTGTGTTTTTTTTGCTTACCTGTACTTAACTGACCACCAGTCAAGTCAACATAAGGCCTCTCCATGGACTGAACCATGCTATTAACTCGAGATACCACGTTTGGTTGACTCATGACATATTCATACACACTGGAGTAGCGATAAACAGAACCCTACAAAACCAACAAAGAAAAAATTGAGTAAGGATCTTTTGCTGACTCTTTCACTGCTACAAACCGTACAAGCTCTAACAGTTAACATCTATTCAAAGAGAACACCAACAAAGTTGAATTAGAATTGAGGACGTGATATTCGCTCGTCTGACCAAGAGCCACGCTCGACACGTCAGCTCTATAAACTCTTTACGGTGGTCAATGTACATTATCAGTTGATAATACTAAATTATCTTGTACTACCCGCCCCACCCTCCCCCCCTCCCCCCCAGACGCAGCATCGCAGTTTCTTTAGAAAATTACCCCCTTTATTCATATAATCACAGTTACACTTCGGGTTGAAGTCGTAAAATACCAAAAAACTAGTTTGTCCTTACCAGTTAGTTCACAGTGTCTTAGATAAATAATCTTGCCTAGCATTTTTTCCAAATTGCTAACAGTAATTTTGTCTTACCGAAAACACTGCATGTTGTATGGGGCCTGTTTGAACCATCACCTCCCGCACAACTGCTTCATCGAGATTTTCAAACTGAAAGAAACGTCTTTTTTAGTACATATTTCGCTGTGAAGCAAGTCTAACGTAAGAAATATACCTACCATGTCACTAACATTTCCATAAATTTCTAGTAACTTCAGGAGCAAAGATGAATCAAATCACCAAAACAAGGGCTACTCTTTTCATCGTTTTATAGCCGAAAATAAGCAATTAACAAGATTGTACTGAAGGATCACCAACCTCTTCGCTGTCGATGGGCACACCATTAAGGATAACTTGAGGCAACTGATGGAATCCTGTCTTGTCAAAGAAACGTTGAGAGGACTAAAAAGCAACACGACTTTCATTAGAAAAGAAACCCTCATGACCTCCATAACGACAGAGTTCATATCACATACTCTAAAATCGCCAGAAGTTTTACCTTTCGATTTTCGTCGTAATCAGAACCTTCTCCGAACACTTCTTCAGCATCATCTTTGCCAAATAATGATGTAAATGAAGTTAACACCTTGTCCGCAGTCGGCACATCGCCTTCCGCCAAATTATCATACAACTAAACACAAAAAACCATGATTTTAAATCTCATGAAAAATATAACAAGCACAAGCTAACAATAAAATACTCAAGATAAACTATCAATCGAAACAAAACAAATCAGTTGAATAATATTGAAAAATTAATGCGACGACAGTCACGCTGCCTTCAGTATTGAGAATAACATGTCTAAAGTCAAACAATTCAAAACCATTTCCACAAAAATCAACAACTGTTCCACTGACCTTAAGAAGCCAATCAAATGCCTCTCGCGAGTCCTTCTCAGATGAGATGAAGCTAAATGCTCTGGCAATTCCTACAGCTGCATTAGTCTTAGCGTCGACTTCGGCATCCAGGGGAACATCGGCAACCAGTGACAAACCAATTCTGAGAATATCATGAATGCAAAACTTCAGTTATTTCTGTTCGGTTTAGTTATTGTCATTGCTTTTCTCGTTTGGCTTTTATTTCCCTTTCTAACAGTTTTGTTGCCTGGTCGCTTGCCATTTTTTTTTTCGCATTGTTGCTTAGTAAACTCGCGTTCGGATCAGTATTGAAAGAAAACACGTCATGGAAAGTCTCTACGCTATTTCGTTATTCACCCACGAAGTAAACTGAGCTCAACAGAAAGAATGTAGGCAGCGGTGGAAAAAGCTTTTGATAAAAGCAAAAGTCATTAGGTAAAATTCCGAGAGCAAAAATATGACTAAAATTGTTACATTTTGTTCTTATGGGGCTGGTTGAAGACTCGTATTGCAGAAAAAGTGGGTATAACTTGGCGACTGTGTTGTGACTAAACACAGCTTTCAGGCAGATGACAAACCCAACAGACCTTCGAAGACTATAAATGCGGAGTGAAGTATAACAAGATTAGCTGTAAAAAGCATCGTTAATATAACGATATCGTAAGCTGTATAACTCATAGCACAGTAACCTTATTACGGGTGTATATAAAACTGCGCAAAGTACCTGACTGGAAACGAATTTTGAAGCAATTCATTGACAACCTTGATCAGTTCGATACTCTGGGCATCTAAAGGGTTGACAAACAGAACCTTGAAAGAAAACAAGAAGTCCAAATTACGAAGCGTTTCCACGGAAATGCTTAGTAATTTCAATGAACATACCTGTAACATGCTTAAACATTGTGAGTGCCGCCGACACCCATGTAAAATCATCTGACTAAGATTTAAAACTAGTTCTTCAGTCTTTCATGTATGGCGATTGCTCATTTCTATTTAAGTACTTTGTTGTATATACAGCTACAATCTTGTAAAGTTTCTATTTTTATATACCCTGACTTGGTAGTTTAACGTGCTTCACCTGATTTAATCTTACAGGAATTTCTATCCTTGATTCTTAGCCTAATAAAACACTGGGGATTTACACTCCATTACAGTTTTACTAACTATCAGCTTTCTTATCGAAATATAGCACAGCAGACAACGTTACCAAATTGAATATGTTCTTGGCAATATAGCGCATCATCCCAGGGAAGGTTGGTCGTAGTATCTGTCAACAAAAACAGGAGAAAATAAAACCTAAATAGCAGGTTTTTGAAAGACAAACAGGTGGAAAACAACAACAACAACAACAACAACAGGCAAGAGGAATACAGAACCAGACCTTCAGTACTTACCTCCTGCAGTTCAGAAGGCCAACCCCAATACTGCCGATCTTTTTCAAGGTCGTTTATAAACTAGCGATGATAAAATAAGCAAATACAGTCACCAGACTATTTACAAGGAAGTCAAATTTAAAAATTACATTTTGCATCGCGACAAAGCAATATCGATAACTCACATAGACTTACCACAATGGAGTCGTGTCTTGCATCCAAAACAAATGATTCATGCTCTGGTTGAGAGGCAAGAGACACAAGTTTACCGAGAGGTTCACCCTGAAGAAAAAACATCGTTACGAAGAAAAGATGTCAATTGTCTTGTCAGGAGAATAGGACAAAGAAAAAAACCTGAGACCATCACGAGCAATCGAACCCCAGATCTTCATGTCAAAAGGTTTGTGCCGGAGACTCAATTTGGATTACATACTTTTTATATCTTGAAAATTTATTTTAGATGACACAGGAGCATGTCAAAAGGTTGTGCCAGAGACTCAGTTTGGATTACATACTTTTTATATCTTGAAAATAAAATGTATTTTAGATGACACAAGAGTGTCTTCATTGACCCTACCTTGATGCCCAGGGAAGAGAGTCTGTCAATCGCTAGTGCTTCACCACGTAACAAATCTAACAAACTACAAGATACAAATCTTGATCAAATTTTATAAATTATACGGACAACAGCTCCAAAAACTGCTCTGCCAGCATTCATACGGCAGCAGGGTTCAAACTTGTGACCGCCTAAAAGGGCGGGTAAAACTATCCAACGGATGAAACGTCATCCAGAGGATGAGTGTTAACAAAACGCACTGCGCTATCCACCGAATAGAGATTTAGCCAGCAGATATCGTTATTCACCCTTCGAACAACTGGGGCCTGGACGTCGATGCGAAAGAAATAATTAATTCACTTTCGGCGACCAGCACTTTAATGCTACCAGTTGAAAGTGAAATAATAATCTCTGGTTTCCCTGTGACCCATAAAATGATCAAATACTCACTGAAAAGGATCAAGATCGTCCACTTGGACCAGAAGGCCATTTATCAACAAAGCACTGTCTCCAGGATCCAGTCCAAATTGTGAAAAATGCTAGAGCAAAATGAAGCAAAAAACATTTAGATGCATAGACACTGGACTGATGGTTAGTGGTCTGAGTGGGTAACTACATGACAACTTTGCAACAAATTTTGCATCCGAATGTTATAGTTCCTAATTATTTTGTATCTGTTTGATCTTTTTCTGCCGGTGCAATAAACTTGAAAACCAGGGACTATATGAGGAAACAGAACATGACTCTAATTCACATATAAGAAAGCAAGAGAATTGGGTTCCACTTTTTGCGTTAGGCAAAATATTACACCTGACCAAGATGTTCGGATTTTTTTTTTTCAAATCCCCATTACCTAACCAGGGTTACTAAACCTGCAAAAAGTTACAGATTATCTACACATGACGTGAAGAAAGGCTGCAGCATGGGACACCAAAACCAATTTTGGAATATCTCTTTGATTTGAATTTGTGCAGGTCACCATTGAGAGAAAATGAATTGTTTTAAGATTGGAAGCAATACACACGTAGAACACAGTGGCAGATGATTTCTGTAGCGAATTTTTACTTAATTTGGTCGGCCTTACAGAATCGTTCAGGAAAACCTAGGTGTAAACAAGAACACGTAAATATAAAAGTATATTGCCACAAGGACGAAAAGAATTTTTTTAAACAACTAACCTTTTGATTAAGTTTGATCTCTTTCCTCATTTCTTCTTTAACCTTTGTCTTCACTAACGATCTAGGATTGAAAATAACAAGTAAATAATCAACGAAAAGAAAACGAAAACTGCAGAAATGAAAGAAGATGTCTCCTACAAACCTGGTTTGCATGGGAAGATTTTGACTGATGTCTCTCAGCACTTTCAAAGCTCTTTGTGGTTCAGAGGACATGACCCGTTGTGCTGCCTGGAAACTCAGATCTGATGGTAAAAATAAAAAAAAAATCTCACCCTACCAGGTTTAAGCAGAATTATCTATCAAAGTTGAATGGGATTCATGGAAAAGTAAGTGATTTCTGTGGATTCTCCTACCAAATTGTCTTATATTCCTGTTAGAAACACAGGGAGCATTTGTTCTTTTTTTAACAGTGCTGTGGGGTTCCAAGCAACCCTTCATCTTTTGACATGAAGTTATTATGAAGGCAACTACTAGAAATGTTTTTTCATAATTTAACTTTGAGATATTCAGGGCACTAGTGTCTAATACTGGACTATCATCTTCTGTCTTCTTTGCAGATTTCTTTATATTGTGGGGAGGTTATTACTGGTTAATTGTTACACTATAATGTAGTCTCTACTAAGTGACTTTTCAGTCTTTGGTATCAATTACTGTCTAATGATTACAACATCAGTGACATGATACACTGCCTTTATATTTGGGGCCTGATTTTAATAAAACTCTTCATACCTTGCAATTGCCAGACTTTCAAAGGAGCCATCTCATGTGCACTTTCCTTTAAGTGTGCCCTGAACTGTTCAAGATTTTCTTTTAGGTCTGGATAGAGTTTCCTATGAGTAAATATTAGTTTGTAGAGTGTGATAACAAAATTATATTTTATAATTTACTCTATGAATAATCTGATAAAAGAGATTCCAACTGAGGTCAGAGCTGTGTTAGACCATCAAGATGAAGTACATAAAAGCAAACTCTGTTAAAGATATGTGAAGTCTTCACACACTCCAATCATCACCAAAGCCAAAGTTTTTTTTTTTTTCCTGACTCGTAGAATGAAGTGGCTAAAGGTACAGTTACTCCCCCTAAATAGGATGCCTGTCATCATTCCCTCAGGTTTCCCTAACAATTTGCTTCTCTGTATTTGTACCCATGGACAGAGAGAGTACTTTGTCCAGCCCAAGAACAAAACAAAATGACCAACCAGGTCTCAAACCCACATTTCAAGGTCCCCGAGTTAGCAGGACACTAACCACTATGCCACAGCATTTCCTCATCACAGACAAACCCTTTGCATTTTGTAAGGTTCCTAAACAGTTCTCCAGTACCCATTTACACTTTAACATTTTACAGAAAGGACACAGGACACAGAAAGGACAAAACAAAGTGACTGTGACCAGTTCTTGGTTTCTCCCTTAGTTTTTAACCCTTGAACTCCCAGATCAAATTTGTCGTTCTCCTTACTGTCAACCATAAAATTCTTATAATGTTAGTTCAAAGAATTTAGTATCGGATCAACTTATTATCTCCAAATTGATATTTTTCCTAGTTTATTTTCATCACTTATCCAGTTGATATTGTTTCGGTATTTTAAGGAGAAATTCTGTCTGGGTCACTCATGGCAGTTGAAGGCTTAATTCATTGGTTTGCTATTAGACAACACCTACCAATGGCAAATTTAAGTCATTGCATCTAGTTGCACAAACCTTAACTTTCCAAAGAGGAATCCTTCAACTTCATCATCATCTTCTTCCTCTTGTTTCTGTACTTTTCCTTCTGCATCATCTTTCACTTTACTGTCATCCATGGCTTTGTACTCTGTTTTCTTGACAGCCAGTTCCACACCATATCCTGATAATCTCATTTTTCTCTCTGATGATGACTAAGTGACCAGTTACAAAATTACATTTAGTGTTATTTCTGCATAAATGTAGATTTGATATTGTGAGGAGAAATTCCATTTTTGGTCACTTTAGAAAAGGAAAGGGCTAGCACAGAGGTTCCATTAAAAGCCTGTGTCTGAGGATGGGCTGACACTGATACCAAATACTAAATACCATCAATACCGATCAGAAAACACCGATACTGGCGTAAAGTATCAATGGTTTTGATCCTGCAAATGAATGGCCAGCACAGTCTGGCTCACACCTGCCTCTAACTGCCGATAAAGAGCTGAAAAGACTCTGAGCTCGAGTTTGGACAATGAGCACTACAGTGTGCCATTTTAAGTGGCACGTGAGCATTGCAAGAGTGAACTCATCAATAACTGTGAGTTTCTATTTTAGTACATCCTTAATCTGGTTTTAAATTCTTGACTGTTTTGTTGATGCAGTTGTAGAGAAGTGAACACTGTAAACTTAACAGAGCAAGATGACCCTATATTTCATCAATCAAATCATGTGACTTACCAGTTAACTCAATGACCTCACAGTATCAATACCAATATCAAAAAAAAACATCAGTATCATACTCATTATCAAATCAATTTGGAAAAATGGTTTATTACTGGTCTACAACTGCTTATAAGACCTCTCACTGCCGTCTGTTCAGTCAGCGAGCAGAATCTCATGTTTCAGCCTATGTCTCCATTGCAGCCAATTAAATGTAAAAAGTTATTCAAACCCCTATTACCAAACAAATTGCTCATCATATCACAGACTTTTCCTACCTCAATATAATGTCGAAGTACATAGTGCACCAGACCATTTTCTGCTAAATTTACAAGTTGCTGATGAAATCTCCAAAAGGATCCTGATCCTATCTTTCCATATAACACAACAGCTATGGAGTTGTTTTCAGATTTAGGATAGTGGTGATCAAATTCAAAACCCTGCACCAAGGGTCTATATTCATGAAGAAGAAAAGACAACAACAAAATGTTTGACTAAAAATATTTAAAAATTACCAATAACAGAATACAATATATATGAAATTTAATTAAAAGAGCAATGTTCTTTCAGCGGAAAGCCAATTTGTTTTTCTCATGCATCTGAAACTTGAGCATTAGAACTAGAAACATACATGTTTTCTGCTTGTTTGATGAGAGAAACAGCTTCTGTAATGTCACATATTGTGCTACTGCCAAGCTGAACAAAAGCCTCACAGTCTGGTGCTGGGAGATCATGGGCAACCTGATGAAAGAATGAAAAATGTACCAAATAAAATCATATAACTGTTAGGCTCAAATGCCTGAGTGTAGATATGCACACTGCAGAGTCATAACAACCCATGGTACTAACAGCTTTGTAATATGAGTTTTGGATTACAAACTAAGTTTCAAAACACCTAAATACTGAACAGCAAAGATAATAACTAACTATTCAGCAGACCTTTTGAAATCTCACCTTATTGAACAGTTCCACCCTGGGGGAATAATACCTCAGTGACAATGAGAATTGCAAGAAATTTAAACCTATCGGAGCTAGCAACTGGCCTGCAGTTTTTAAAACATGTTTATATTCATCTGAAATCAAAACAGAGTAAAATACAACATTAAAAACTTATTCAACACTGTGGATAACAGCTCAAAAACCATCTTTTCACTGTTTACACCCCTTCAGTGCCTCGCATCTAATTTCTCCTTACAATATATCACCACTGAATCAAACATTGAGTCGTGAGAATAAAGGAAAAGATCCCCAACCTATAATGTTCTTGATTATTAAAATTCTCCTTGTCAGTACCATAGGAAATGTATAGAGAATGGTATAGAGAAACTGTGTGTTGATATTATGGCAAAAAGGGTTAAGTAACAACCAGGTGCCAGTTGTTCAAAGGATGGGAAATGCTATCCACTGAACAAATCTCTATCTGGTGGATAGCATATAGTATATTTTGTTGGCACTTATCCCATGAATAGCAATTTATCCATTAGATAGAGTTATCCAACCTTTGAAAAACTAGAGCCAGGCCTTTTAAACCTTTAACTCCCAGATCAAATTTATAATTCTCCTTACTGTCAACCATACAATTCTTATAATGTTAGTTCCGAGAATTTATTATTGGATCAACTAATTATCCCCAAATTGATAATTTTCTTTATTCTCATTTCTTTCTCTGGTTGATATTGAATAGATATTGCAAGGAGAAATTCTGTCTTGGTCACTCATGGGAGTTAAAAGGTTAATGCAGGATTAAGTCAATGAAATAACATCAACTGTTGAACTGAAAAATTAGGAATCTTATTCTTTTGTTATCATGACATTGATTGTAGCTCCTTGGTATACTTCACACAATAATTACACCAAAAGAAAATAATCATTCATTACCTAAATCATGACTGAATGATTTATCTTGACATGAATCCACAAACTTCCAAAATTTTTCATTACTCTCTGCTGCTAAATATTCACTGAAATTAAAAAAAAAACATCTTATTCCCAGGGTGAGCTGCGTTACAGTACCTATCACTCTTGTCCAAAGAGTGAAGGACAATTTTCCAAAATTTCTTGAATATTCAGAAATGTGCAGTTGTCTGCGGAGGAGCCTTTTGATCCCCTTGTGTCACCTTCTTTGTATCATGGTCTGGTTATTCAAAATTTCTAATCATTATATTCATGTATTATATTCATTCAGCTAAAACACAAACAAAAAGTGAAAACTAACTAAGAAAGTAGCAATACTATTACAAAAGGGTAATTTGATATTATCAACTGAGTTGATATTAAAAATGTAATTTGGCCACCGTAAAGGGTTTCAAAGCTGACATTTTGAGCATTAGCCCTTGATCAGAGCAAAGCCCTTCCTTCTCACTCTGACGAAGGGTTAACGCTCGAAAGTCAGCCTTGTAACCCTTTATTGTGGCCAATTTACGTTATCACCCTAAATTACCCTGTTCTACTCTCCCACTGACGCAGCAACACAGTTTCCTTAGAAACTTACCCCCTAAACACTATTATAAGACTGAGTACATCTGAACCCTTTAAACAACTTTCAAATAAATGTGTGTAACACTACTTTAGATAATAAAATTTAGCACCAATACAATTCTAAATTGACATGAAGCGAAAGAATAGTGTAAAGTTCTGAGAGAATAAGCAACATAGCAGCTAAATGTCTTAGTATAAATTAGCCCAGGCTGGTGATATTTAGCCAGAGCATTCTATGTAGCTGTAGAAGAGCTCTCATATCTCTAGTCTTAGGAATATCCTGGGAGTTATGCTGTTTTTTATTTGCTTTTATTCTGATTTATTTTGAAAATAACCCTGTTCTCAACCAACCTTGCTTCAAGCAGAAGAGGTGTCGATCCCCATCTTGCATCTAGAGAGGCTATTATTGATTTAGAGCTACTTGATTTGCAAAAGGATTGGTGGACTAACGAAAGAAGGGTAAACAAAGTGGCCACCGTAGTACACATTACCTGCAGAAAGAGTGAAGGAGTTTTAAATCATCTGACGTAGAAAGAGCATGCAGTCGGAAACTTCCGCTAATTTGTTGAACAATTTCGTTGGCGATTATAAATTCTCCTCACTGCAGTACGTGCGTTGATTATGTCCGAAAAGTTCCAATAAAAAAATTAAATTTGGGCGGAATGTGCTACATAATATAAAAAAATCAAAGGTTACATCAATGTACATGTACATTAGTACGTATTACGTGAATCTTAATTTAAAGCAGCACATTTTTCAATCAATTTCAAACAAATAAAATACCACTTAAAGAAACACAGCTTCATTTGAGATGAGTGTTGGAAAACTTAGGCTGCAAGGTTCGGGTTAAAAAAAATGAGCACAAATCACCGAAAATCTGACTTGCAATAAAGCTCACGCCAGCCGGTCTTCTTTCATTACAAACTGATCATGAATAACTGAAAAACAGATCATTTTAACCAATATTACTAAACACAATCATATAAAATACAAGCGGTAAACAATGTATTCATCCAATCTTATATGTCAGGATTCAGCCTTCAACAAAGAAAGAAATCAATACATTTCCTACCCCTGCGTTGCTCAGACACTTTTTGGCCGCCATCTTGGAAAGAAAGCCAATGCAGTGTAACCACGTCGCTGGCGTTAATTTTATGTGGGGGAGTGGGAGAAAGTTTCTTTCCAACGTACTTGATGATGAGGCCAGACGATTTCTGTCCCATTGAGCTCATTCCCATTCTTGATATCCCACTTATCTCTCATTTACCATTTACCATCCATTCACTCCCACTAATCCATGGGCCTGGACTTCCTCACAATGACCTTTCGGTACCATTCATGATGGAAGGGGGGGGGGGGAGTAATGCTGACGTGAATTTTTTTTAAAACAAAACTTACTCCAGTTTAGTTATTTTGTATAATAGCAGTGCTTAATAGGTAGCTAAACAGGGAATATCACAGGAAATAAACAATAAGAGAGTACATTCCTTCCCTCGTCTCCACAGACCGAGAAAGCCTGGCACAGTCTACTTTTAGAAGGATTTTAAAAGACACATTCCGGATGATAGATCGTGCTAACCAATCAAAATGCTTTGCTTCGTTGCTTTAATTAACTGTCATTCCGAGCCCAAGTGTTTTCAAATGACAGTGAACAGAGATTTCTAAGTTCTTCTCCTTAATTGTATCGTTAACAGATCAAGGTAATTGTTTTAATCCGTCTTTGAGGTTCACAGGTACGACAAGGGGTAGACAATTAATACTGCTAAAGGTAAATCTACCTTTAAAGTGGCTTATATCTTTTCTCTCCTTTATATTAGTTCTGCGATGCTTTATAACCCGATGGTGACGCACCAATATGGATGAATTTGAATGCCCTTCAAACGGCTTTCTTGTGCCACAAAAGAAGTTTCCTTATATGTTTCTTTCAAGTTTGTCCAGTGACATATCTAAGTTCATAGGCAGTGGTGAGATTAAAACAAAGACCATTCATTTTCAAAATATTCGTGTTAACCTTTAATAAGCATCTTTGTTTGCATGTGAAAAGTGGACAAATTGAATATTCATGCATAAATGCAAATTTAATGATCACGTAATCTTCTGTTTTGAGAGCATTCAGCAAAATAATCGCATTTATTGGTATTAATCAGTCAGTTGGGGAATAAAAGTTTCGATCATCTTTGCTAAAGATGATTTTTGGCCTGTAAAAGAGTATTTGTAAGAGTAATTTGCATATTCGTGAAGTTTATTATGTTGCAAAAATTTTGTAGTGTCGAGTTTCCAAATCCGTTTAACTTTTATTTCCTTGTGTGTTCCATTTTTCG